TAATTCATTCAGAATAGGAAAACCATTAATCTATGAATTTAATTCACTCAAAGTAGGAAAACCATTAATCCATGAATTTATTTCACTTATAGGAAAACCATTAATCCATGAATTTATTTCACTCAAAGCAGGAAAACCATTAATGAATTTATTTAATACTAACATTTAACAACTATTTAAAATTTTGCCCCCATATTTGGGAGCCCTTTACTAAATACATTTAATTTTCCCATTTAAAAATGGTTTCTGACATCATGAGAATGCGCCTCTTTTCACAGGATTCCTCTTTCTCAAAACGGACAAACGTATTAACGCTCGAACCAGTCCCAGTTATCCAGAGACCCCTCATTTTCTCATAAATATCCGTGATATCTCATCACCTGAGCAAAAATATCTCTTTTAAAATAGTTCTATTTATACTTGCAAAGAAAAAGTTTACACAAAGCCGAGGCTCTAAACAATCAAATTAGATCCCATCCCAAAAATTTCACTAGATGAGGTTGTTTTGATGCTTAAACATCCTCAAATTGATCATCTCAACATGAAGATGCATAGACATGAGAAAAAAAATAGATTTCAAGTTTTAAAAATAATGCATCTTGTAATACATTTTTGGACCGTTAATTTTTAAATTTTTATAGATCTGCTCGATCCTATTTTTGAAGAATTAAATTTCGTAATTGAATATGAAAATATATTTTAAGGCTATCACAAAGATTTCCAACATTGAAACCAGATTTCTCGATACTATTCGAAGGTGAGCTCTACAATGATCGCTTAGAGCCGAGCCTCGGCTCTATACAACCACGCCCTTAATAGTTGACGTTTGGGGGAAAAAATAAAAAGTACCATTATTTTTTTAAAAAAATTGATTATGAGAATAAGATGCATTTTTTTTTTAGGAAAGACCACTTTTTAGATAAATTTTTTTTTTTTGTAATTTAATAAATAAAGGATTATCTGATAGGAATGAAACCCCTGATCACCTATGCTTTGAACCCATTTCTAAAAACTGAAAAGGTTTAAGTTTAGTGCTTTGAACCCATTTTTAAAAACTTAAAAGGTTTAAGTTTAGTATAACGTAGATTTCAAAAATTTGAAGGAAATTAAATATCATTGTATTTTATTTTTTTTAAAATTATTTAAAAAGTAGTTCAAATTTGCTTTTGGCTCATTCATGTATAATGTTGTAATATTGGTCTATTAATATGTTACTCATTAATAACTTTTTTTTAAAGGAAAATAACATTTCAGGGGTATCTCTAAAAGTTTCAGGAGTATTTTGATTATTTTATTTTGTTGATGATATTTGTTTTTATATTTTTTACAGATGCAAGTTTAAGAGAGGAGTGGACGCCCAAATTTTGGTGTCAAAATATTTTACATAAAAAATAAAATAGTGTAGAAGCATGACATTATGATTTGGACCTTCTCAGCCATCGATTAAGAATGGACAGTTAAATAGGGAGAAGTATATAAGTTTTATACAGTAGGAGAAGTATAAAAAGCTTGCTCGTTACATATTATACGGTCGTTTTATCATTTTCAAGTGTTTTTATATCAACCATATCCACATTACTCGTTGATATTTAAATTTGGTTATTAGAGGTTTGAATACATTTTCAAGCCATTTACAAGGGTTTGAACTTTATCTTCGGATGTGTAGGAGCAGTGCAACCTATTTTTTCTTTCGCTTTAAATAAATCATCATTATCATCATTTTAGCCTTTTGTCAATTAATTGGGGTTGGCTATATGAATCCTGATTCTTTATTCTGTTATATTAAAGATTATATCCTCAATGAGGTCATCAATCTTCATATCTTTCAGACTACATCCAACCATGTCCTTTTGGCCCTACCCTTTTACTTTTTCAGTCATTCTACTTGAACTAATTCGCACCTCCTAACAGGTGTTGTACTTGATCGATGCCACATAAAGCCAACCCACCTAAGTTTACTCTCTCTCATTTTATCGCCTATTGGTGTCACGCCTAACTTCTCTTGAATAGATTCATTTCAAACTATATCCCTTCTTGTCTTGCCACTCATACATCTTAACATTTTCATCTCCGATATACTCATTTGATAGGTCTATTGTTTTTTGTCCGTCCAACATTCTATCCCATAAAGCAAAGCTAGTCTTATCGATGTCCTATAGAACTTGCCCTTCAGCTTCATTGGTATGCGGTATTCATATAAAATTTAAGTTGCACATCTCCACTTTGCCCACCCAGCTATAATTCTGTATGCGACATCTTCCTCGATCTCTCTATTTTCTTAGATTATCGACCCAAGATATCGAAAGTGCGGTCTTTTTTGTACTTCCTAGCCGTCAATCTTAACTACTTCCTCGTCTCTACTCCTATTATTACTAAATTTACACTTCATATAATGTGTCTTAGTCCGACTAATTTTAAAACCTTTGGATTCTAGAGCATTCTTCCAAAGTTTTAACTTTGTGTTAACGTCTTTTCGGGTCTCATCAATCAAAACTATGTCATCTCCGAACAACACGTACCATAGTACTTCATCTTGTAAGTGCCTAGTTAAGTCATCCATAATTAAGACAAAGAGGTACAGGCTCAATGCTAACCCTTGATGCAGACATATTATCACTGAAAACTCACTCGTCTCTCTATTAGTTGTTCATACACCAGTAGCCGCTCTATCATACATATCTCTCACCTGTAGTGTCTAGAGATGAATATCTTTTCTAACACCTGCCAAATAAATCTCGAGGTACTTTATCATAAGTTTTATCTAGATCAATAAAGACCATATGGATGTCTTTTTCCTTCGTTATAAACTTTTCAATCAGTTGCCTAAGTAGAAAAACAACCTAAATTATTGATTTTCTTGACATAAAACCAAATTGGTTTTTAGATACACTCATTTCATACCTTAGTTGTTGCTCAATGACTCTTTTCCAGAGCTTCATAGTATGGCTCATAAGTTTAATCCCTAAATAGTTTGCACATTTATGTATGTCTCTTTTGTTCTTATAAATAGGTATCACAATACTTTTTCTCCTTTCATTTGGCATTTTCATTGTTCTTAATACCTTGTTGAACAACTTTGTCAACCAGTTAATGCCAATTTCCCCCATGCACTTCCAAACCTCTATCGGGATACCATCTGGTCCTAAAGCCTTTCATATCTTCATCATTTTCAAACTTCTTTCACTTCCAACATTCTAATCCTAAATATGTACCTATGACCTCCGTCGTCACTTGTACCAACAGTCCCTTCAACCACTATGTTCCAATTTTTTCCGTCATTTAATAATTTTTGAAAATGAACTCTCTACATTTCATTGGCCTCATCATCCTTTACCAAGACCTTTTGATCATCACTCTTAATGCATTTAATATAATTTAGATCCTTACACTTTTTCTCTCTTATTTTTGCTAATTTGAATATATTTTTTTCACCTTCTCTTGTTCCCAGTTTATTTTATAGGTTATTATATGCTTTAAGTTTAACTTTACATACTATTTGTTTAGCAGTTTTCGTTGCATTTTTATATTCTTCTGAGTTTTGTTCATTTGTGTTAAACTGCCAAGTATTATAACATTATCGTTTTTCGCCAATAGTTTTCTGGACCTCATCATTCCACCACCAAGTTTCCTTATCGAAGTTTTTTTTTCCTCTTGATCCTCCTAAAACTTCTTTTGTCACTTTCTTGATATATTTAACCAACTCATTCCATATTACATTGACATCATGTTCAAAGTCCCATTTTTATTCTTCAATTGATTTATCTTTAAATAAGTTGATTTTTTTATTTTTTAAATTCCACTACCTAGTTTTTAAATAAATGCATCAATTAATTACCTATTATTTAACATGTACACACAATTAGAGACATAAGCACCTGTTATTTTAACTATTTATTATACCAAATCTTAACCATTCACATCTTTTTACCCCAAATTTGGTGTGGCCCTCCACTGTCACCAAAATTTTCAGCCTGATTTTCTAAAACCAAAACTGAATTAATATTGATTTTTTTGTTTATAGATTTATTGGTAGGGCATTTTGGACATCTCAAAGCACACAATGGTATTATTATATTAAACATAGTAGGAATCATGCTCATCTATAGCTTCTATAAAGTGTCAGTTTTAAACAATCAAAGGAAGACACACCTCTAACCCATTTGGAAAGATGCAATACAAGAGATGCAGTGCAAGTGCCGAAAATCATTGTTGTCGCTTCAAAATCTATTTTCATTCTTAATTGTTAAATTTAAAGTTTGAAAAATAATATATATCAAGCATATATATATATATATATATATATAAACACTTAAAAATTTTGAAAATTGATGGTTCCGATAATGCCTTATTAGATTAAAAATCTTATTTTCTCCATATCCATACATCTTAAATTTGATGTTGCACAAACTCACTACAATAGAGTTTATTAAACTATGAGTTGTACTTTTGCTTCTCTACTTATTAATAAAAATCGGAGAGGGGCCTTCTCCTCGAATAACTTACCAAAAAAAAAGATGATCAAGTTGAGTATTTTCTAGAGTTAGGACAACTTTTTTTTAGTGGTTTTTTGAGATGCACATACTTCTTTAATATAGGGGTTCTACCTTATATAAACTTCTTATTTATTTAATATTCGGGGAATTTTGAGAAGGTGAGAAATCGCCATTTCATTCATTGGGGGAATTTTGAGAAGGTGAGTAATCGCCATTTCCCTGAAATAATTATTCTCCTTGGTTGTCTCTATTTTCTATTTTAAATTCTTTTATATTAAACTTCTTATTTTATGTAATATTGGGGGCGATTTTGAGAAGGTGAGAAATCGCCATAACCCTTAAATAATATTTGTCTCTATTTTATATTTTCAATTCTTTTATATTTTTGTCCTCTTCATGGATTATGAACTTTATAGAAGTTTTGATTCATTTCCTTACATGATTGATTAAAGAAATATGAAAAAGCCAAATAAAATAACTTTTTCATTATTGCTTCTATGCACGTTAAGTGCGACCATGACCCATTGCTTCCAAACCTTCACTTTTCCAAGAGAGAGAGAGAGAGGAGGCCTTTTCCTAATAACCAGTAAACCTCCGCTCCCTTCCTTTATTCTAGCCGTTGCTTGTTTTCCTCTCTCTAAAATTATCTCTCTCCAAAATCTATCTCTGCTCCGCCATTCTCTCTCTCTTGCTCTGCTAAAAACCCATTCAGATCAGACCCATTTCTCTGCAAAAAAAAAAAGAACCCATCTTTCTCTGTGGAAAACCCATTAGTTATTATCTAGCATCTATAAGGAGCCACATTCACTCACCACTTTTTTCTCTCTCTCTCTCTCGCTCTGCTCAAAAGCTCACTAATATTACAAGCATCTCTGCAAAAATGAGCCAAGCCCATAAATTAGTACTTAGTAGTTACAGTCCCTAGAAAGTGTGTCATTCTCTCTCTGAAAAATGCTTTTTTTCCCCTATAAAGAGCCTTACTCTCTTACTAAGATCAACCCATTTCTCTGCAAAAAACAGATAATACCCATATTATTGTAAGTCCCTATAAAGAGTGTCGTTCTCTATCTGGAAAAAAGCTTTTTTTTTTTTCTCAATTTTATTCTATGGAACCTCTCATATTTTCACCATTCTAGAGATTTAGTGTTCCAAGAGAGAAAGAAGCCATTTTTACCTATGAAAGATCCAAATTTCCATGCAGAAAACCAGGCTTTTCTCTTTCTTCTTGTCTCAAAAACTTCTCTCACATTTTCCCACTCCATCACTATCCTCCTGTAAATGGTGTGAAAAACCCATTAGTATCAGACCTTTACTCCTTCAAAAAAAATCCAGATTCATGGTGTAAAACCTCTTACATTGCCCCCACTATTTCCAAAATTTCATAACTTCCTCTAATCTGAAAATGGTGGGGAAAACCCATACCGCTGATCCCTCTCAAAGTGTTTTGAACCAGAAGCTCTCTGAAAAAACCTCAGTTTTGGGTCTCAAGCTATGGGTGGTGATAGGAGTGAGCATTGGTGTTATTGTAACCACCTTACTGATACTCATTGTGTGCTTTATTTGCAAACGGACATCTTCTAGGCAGAAGAGGAGACTGGTTAAGTGCTCCTCTGGTTTGATCCCCATGATTTCAAAGGAGATCACAGAGGTTAAGGCTGATGGGTCTTCAGAGAAAGCTCAAAATGTCGGGCCTAGCAATGAGGAACCAGAGAATCATCAAAAGGGCTCTAATGGAGGTTTGGAGAAGAAGGAGAAGAAATTCAGGGATTTCATTGGGGATTTGGAGAAAGGGGAGAAGAAATCATCAGAGGAAAGAGAAGAGAAAGGTAGGCCTTTGAGTGGAGAGAGCAATGTGTCTTGTGGAACGCAGGGATCTTCGGTTTCAGATGTTTCGAACTTTGGATGGGGAAGATGGTACTCTCTGATAGAACTTCAAGTGGCCACTAATGGTTTTTCAAGTGATAATGTGATAGGAGAAGGAGGTTATGGAGTTGTTTATAGAGGGGTCTTTCCTGATAACACTGTCATTGCAGTTAAAAATCTCCTCAACAACAAGTAAGTGGTGGCTCCTATCCAAATTTTTTGTCATGGGTTTTGTTCTGTTAAACCTTGTTAAATCTTTTTTGGTGTGAAAATTAACCGCAAATTATGGGAAAAGTTGCCTTTTTTATGGAAATAAGTGATTTTACTGATAATTTTTGTTCGCTTGAGAAATCAATTACATTTTAGGGCCTACAATTACAGTGAGAGTATTAATCTTAGTTTCAGAAGCAAGTGGGATCTCTCTCTCTGAGTGTGTGTTGGAAAAAAACCAGTTAAATATTTTTTGTTCGCATGAGAAATCAATTACATTTTAGGGCCTACAATTAGAAGCATTCTAGTCCCTCTTCAAAAAAATTAGGAGCATTCTACTCCAATTCAGAAAATCAGGGCTTCATAAACAAAGAAGATTGTGTTAAAATTTGTGTAACTTTTTTCAATGTTAAAAAATTGTGTCATCAATTGCTGTTGGTTGAAGAAGATAGCAGACTTAATTGGTCAGAAATAACCAATTAAGATTTGAAGAATTAACACTATTGCTAAAAGAAGATTAAAGACTTATTTGAACTTGAACCCCATAACCTTTTTCCAAGTTACTGGTTAGCTCGCTCCCCAAGTCAGAGGCAACATTGTACTCTAAACTTTTTGTATCCTTTTGTGAAGATCGATAGGACATGAAAAATAATAGGAGTGTGTGTGTGTGTGCGCATATGCCTTTCTGAATTGAGTAAATTTGACACATTTATATAATTGAGTAATTGTAAATAGTGCAGTGATACAAAAGTTAAAACATTCTAAAAAAGAAAGAAATAGTGTTGTGACTATTAATTTCGCACTGACTTCTAATTTTCTAACTAATCTGCTATTGTTGCAAGCACAATATGTACAGAGGCCAGGCTGAGAGGGAGTTCAGAGTAGAGGTTGAGGCCATTGGCAAAGTGAGGCATAAGAACCTGGTGGGGCTTATGGGATACTGTGCAGAAGGTGCCCAAAGGTAATCTTATATGGTCTATTTTAGCTTGCTTTAATTTTTCATCATTTATCGTGAATATTCAAATTTAATCATTGAAGTAGAATCAGTTGCTAATACAATTGGAATTCTTTTTCTTTGGGACCTAGGATGCTGGTTTATGAGTATGTGGATAATGGGAACTTGGAGCAATGGTTACATGGTGATGTTGGGCCAACCAGCCCCCTTACATGGGATATACGAATGAAGATAGCCATTGGAACAGCGAAAGGGTATGATATTTGATATTTGACGAGTTGGACAATGAGAAATATATATGAAAGTTGCTCTCTGCTGTTCCTTTTGGATTCTAGAAATTCTCTTCTTTCTTAATTTAGGTAAGTTATTGGGTTCTAAGATTGAAATACAGACTTTTTAGTTAAACCATAGGGTGATTGAACCTCGCAGATACGACCTCCAAAACCCAGTCATTGTCTTTATGCTTTTTTATTATGGTATGTTGCTTAATGTAAAAAAGAAAACCCATAAATGAATAGAAGTGGCGCAAACAACCCAAATATTTGATGCAAGTGACCCAAGTCATGAAAATCATGGGATATATTTTCAAATATGCCCTTGCATTTTCTGAAATATTTTTATAATCCTTGAAATGTTCGGGTAATTGGGGATATCAGCTTCAAATTATATTACTTCAAATTATATTACTTCAAATGATGTCAAGCTTTTATGTGTGTGTGTGTGCGTGTATGTTTGTGTGGGGTTAATGCAACCTTGTACTGTTGCTCCTGTTGCAGATTGGCTTACCTGCATGAAGGTTTAGAGCCTAAAGTCGTGCATAGGGATGTAAAGTCCAGCAACATACTTTTAGATAAGAGGTGGAATTCAAAAGTCTCAGATTTTGGACTTGCCAAGCTTTTGGGACCTGATTCAGCCTTTGTTACTACTCGTGTTATGGGAACCTTTGGGTTAGTTATGCACTTTTCATTTGAAGCATATCAGTTTCATGAATTTCTAATGTTAATTCTTGTAAGTTTTCACTACATTTTCATAGTCATTTTTGTTTAAATTCTGATCATCTTCAATAGTCATTCTCATCAAGTTCTCAAATGGTCAGGACCAGTAATAACGTACATATATAATTCACTTTTCATACTGGTGTATGTTGTGCATGTAGTTATTGTACCTTTCAGAACAACTTGGAAAGATTGTTTCTGCGTATAAATACTGTAATTTAAAGTTAGAGTCGATTTGGGCAACTCCACAAGTATAGCAGAAGAATGTATTATTTGGCTTTCATTATTGGTTTTGCTTAGCATGTTTTGTCAAACTAGTAAAATGACATGAGTTCCTTTAAGCTAAGTGAATTAGAATGGGTTGTTTACCTGAACAGATTGAGCAACACCCTAATCTCTTTCTTTTCTTTAAGGTTTTTTTTTTTGGTGAAATTTTGGAACGATTTAATTATGTTATTAAGTGATTCAATCTAAGGATTGCCTTATCACCTTCACTAATATATAAATGGCCTTTTGAGATTGGGATGTTTCATGAACAGATTTACTTAATGCAAATATATTTCTGGAAGGATAAACAATATTGTGTTGTTTAGAAAATGGATTTGGTTGATGCAGAGATTGGAAATGTGAATATGTAAATTTTTTAAGGTTTTGATCTCACTTGCAGTTGTGACTGAATTCATTTTTCACTCTCAACTTTCATCTGAAAGGTGCTGCTCTTTCTTGCACACACCTAAACATCCTTTTCTCACAAACTAACAGAAGTATCTTATGTTTAATTTTCTGTGATCATTTAATTTTCTCAAAAGTAACAAACAAATTTACATTCATTTTGCACAATCAATTTGTATGTTTGATTTTCTGTGATTTTTCTGCCCCTTGTACCAAGTGAGCCATATCAAATAAGTGACGGCTATTCCCAATATTTAAGTTGGAAAGTGACAAGCATGTGAGAAAATCTGTTTACTTGTCTCTTGTTTTGTTTACTTGAACTTATTTTTTCTGCCAAATTACTTTTTCCACTTTATGTATCAAGTATTACTTTTTGTATTCAATTATTTCTCTTTAGTTCGTGCTTGTGCAGACTACAATTCTTGTACACTCAATAATCAATATGACCTTGTGTACTCTTTCTCCTGGAGTATTCATGTGAACCTAAAATCCCATCTCTTTTAATGTATTCAATCTCATAATAAATTCAGCTAGTTGCCACTTACTAATAAATTTGGTTATACTTAAATAACTTACCCTGATTGGAGTGCTTTAGCCTTGACAAATGTAAAATGTTTCAATTAGGAGATTGCTTATTAAGCCAACCCAATAAATCCAAACATGATTGTTTGATGGATATTGAACATGATAGTTAAGGAGAACATATCCATACATATCACGGAAACCTTATGCTAGTTTAGTTTCATCTGGTTATTTTTGTGCAGGTATGTGGCTCCTGAGTATGCAAGCACTGGAATGCTTAACGAGAGCAGCGATGTTTACGGTTTCGGGGTTCTTCTCATGGAAATAATATCGGGAAGAAGTCCCGTTGATTATGGAAGACCAGCTGGAGAGGTATTTCTCAGTTATCAAAGTTTTTACTTTATTAAAAAGTTATTTATTTCTTTCTCAGTTGATTGGATAGCTAAAGGCTCAGAGAGAGCTCTTACTGTTTCGTCAATTGTACCGTGGAACTACCTCTAAAATAAAAAATAAAATAAAATAAAAAGAAACCATTTTGATGATATTTAAGAGTATGGTGCATATGCAGGTGAACCTGGTAGACTGGTTTAAAGCGATGATAGGGAGTCGCAGAGGTGAACAAGTGGTTGATCCATTGATTGAAGAAAAACCACAACCGAGAGCATTGAAAAGGGTTTTGCTTGTCTGTCTCCGATGTGTGGATTTGGATGCTCAGAAGCGGCCAATGATGGGACAAGTTATACACATGCTTGAAGCAGATGAGTTCCCCTTTCGCGCGGTAATTTCTCTTCATCTTTGTAGGCTTTACTTTATGACATCTGAGTATAAGAACTTGAATATTGTTGATCATCTATAAAAATGGTCATATTAATGGTAATATCTTAAATATGGTGAAGTAATATCTTACATATAGAGAGATCAAACTCACAGTATTTGTTACCAAGTATGACGAATAGACTACATAACTCTGTCTAGTCTTGATATGGAACCTTTGTAGCACAATATACCAATACTTCAACAGAGATCTTCTATGTATCTCTCTTATTAAAATGCTGGGCTTCAATTAAAGGTTAAGATTTTCTATATCCCATCAATTCTGGATGAATGCCAGATTGGAAGTATTAAAAAGAGTAAATGAAAGACTAGACATCCTTCTTACTTGTGATCCTTTTGGGCATTATCCCTTTTTTCTACAGAATGAGATCTCTTAATCATATTCCAAACTAATTTTGTTTTGTAAAATTGAGGCATTCTTTGATGTGTATTCTCATTAGGGACAGCATACAATATGTCCATCTACCTTTGGTACATATACGTCCCAGTCACTGAACCCTAGCCATCAGATGAGAGCAGCTAAGCCGTGTGCCATTGACCATGCTCAAGTCTAAGAGAAATTTCCTCAGATTTTGTGTGGAGAAATGGCACACCCCCTAGCCATCACATATGTGTTTGGTGATGATTATTTCCTATTTGTACTAAAGGTAATCAGTCTTGGTACAATAATTCGTTATCACTATATTCGAATTTAGATAATCAACCATTCAAATTTCATGCAGGAACACCGATTAGCACGAGAAGCAGCCCAACTCCCTCCTCGTGATAGTCCTATAGCAGCAGCCAATAGGCTTGGCCTCTCACCCCATGGAGATAGCAGTGCTGCTAATCTTGAGAGGACAAGGTGGAGATGAGCAGCCATTGTTAATCATTCAAGCCCCAATTATGGTATGTAAGATGGTCCATATTTTTTATGTGTATATTACCATTGATTAGAGAAAAAAACTAGAAGGGAGAAAAAAAATTATGTTAAATAGGGAGTGCTTTTTCATCCTCCTTTTCTAGGCACACCATCATTGCGACTCTCAGGGGATGATTCCTAATGTTACAGATGTAAAAGTGTTCTTTAAGCAGTTTGCAGAGACCCTACCACCTAAGAGATGTAGCTATACAGTCTTGAATTCTTAATGATAGTTTGGAAGAATGAAATGGCAGCATTTGTTCAATTTGTTCATGGAAATGACCTACAGACTCTATGCTTTCATAGAACATGTCTGTGTCTCTATGTTACATATCCTGATCTCCTTTTTCTTATTCTGATTCTGTCCGAACCATGAAGCTTATTATTCATTGAGGAAATTTCATAGTTGTCTTAGAAATTCTCACCAAATATGTGATATAAAATAAATAATGGCTCTTCCTGATATTATTGCTCAAAACATGAGATATATTTCTGCAAGTTATACCTTTTGTAGATTGTTGCGTTGTACTTTTTTGTAAACATGGTTGGAAGTAGCGAGACATGATATGGGGACTTACGGTTTCACGTAAGGTATAACCCTTAGCAAAGCAGAATGATGGATCATGATTTATGTAGCCGATCCCAATTAATTGGAAAAAAGCTATGATGGTGATTTTTCTTGTAAACATAGTCATGTTGATATATGTTTATGAAGATATCCCTGAGAAAAATTTGGGAAAAAAAAAATCCAAAGGGACTTGAGTAACTGAAAAGATTATGTGCTCCCTTAGGAGTAAAAGATATATGATTCCTTAGGCAAAACCTTGGCTTAGAGGATTGTTCAGATGCAGCCTAAACCTGCCTGGAAAAAGAAAAAGAAAACTTCTATGTACCTTAAATCTGCCTGATAAAAAACATGCCATATGTTTGCACACAGACTGTCAAATTTTGGCCGGTCGCATCTAATTGTTTAGGAGCTAAAACCTTCTGTTTTTTTTTTTTTTATAAATCTCCTCTTGCAATTCTGAGGTGGATTTCAAAATTCTAAATCAAGAGAATCCTCTTTAGTGGGTAATACAACAGAGGGAGCGAATGAATTTTGCTCTTGTAGCATAGGAGCAAATATTATACATTCCAAGGGAAGAAAGCTACAGTATCCTCGATAGGGAGTGTTAGAGATTTATTACTTGTATACTTAATCATTCCATTATGAGATTTACTTGTATACTTAATCATTCACATATAATGGAATTGGTTTATATATACTAATGATACACATGTGCGTGATATTAAAGTAAGATTATTGAAATATACTCAATCTTGAAATAGTATTTTTCAGAGTTGTGTGATTCAATTTAATTTACTAGTGAGAGAGAAGCATAACTGTAAAAGTAATATAATTCCTAATTTTATTTCTGGATGAAATGGTATAGTGATTTCTGTTACTCAACCTTATGTAAAATGAAGTAATAGAGAAAACATGCTAATCAATCAAGATTGATTCAATCACTCTCTCAAAAATATTATTTTGCAATTATGCGAGTCCTCATAGCTCATAAAACTCTTCAAAATTTGACATACAAATTGTCCGATTTAAAGACAATACTCAGATAATTTGCGATTGGTTTTGAATAATTATGCTTCGAACAATTCTACATGTGGGAAAACATAAAAAAAAAAAAAACACACTTCACATAATATGAATGCAATGGTTGCAATTATATCTTGAGAAGAAATGAGGGTGAATGGATCAATGGACACTCAACAGATGCCCAGCATTAATGGCACGATATATGCAACAAATACTGCCATAATTATTGTAATTAAATCTACAAATATTTCATGATTTCAAAAGCATGGATTGTCATAAGGAAAATTGTTTCATGCCGCATTTCTACATACGCGGTCTAGAAAGTGTAAAGCAACTATCTTAAAGATGCATGATGCATGCAAGTAGGTTTTCCATATAAAAGCAATGGAAACTAATGGTTCGAATGTTTTCTTACTATAATTAATTAGTTTTTTACATTTATTTATTTTTGCGTATTTATGATCTGCATGTTAAAGATTACATGCCTTTAAAAATTAAGTCTTAAAATCCATCTCAAAAAAAGATTTATTATGAAGCCCGCATTTCTACATATATATGGGCTCGGCCACATAGAAACGTCCATGTCATAAAGAATGTGTGTTACTTGAATAATTCTACATTAATGGAAGAGATATTGAAAGGGCAGTATTTATTCTATGAATACTTATAGTTCATAATGGGTAATGAAATCAAATAAAGATGCATAAGATACCCCCATTGAATATTCCAAAGTATTGCAGAGTAAATATACAAGTTTTATCAAGATAAAAAAAATAAAAAATAAATATTCGTACAGGTTTATAACTTCTCAAAAATAGTTATACTTTTGAGTGTTCGGAGCAACACATAAATGTATAAATATCGTAGTCATACAAGGGCAATTTTAAATACTAAATTGTAAAGAAATTTATGATTTTCAGGGAAATTCTTGTGAGCATCCTCTATGTTTTTGTACAATGTAAAATAGTTTCATGTTCTTATTTTTTTAAGCTCGAGGTCTCTTTTTTGTTAGATCTTCATTTTTCACATAACAGTTGCAGAATCAGCACTTGCAGCGCCAAACCCAATTCTTTAAATTTGTTAGAATATAATGGATTTCGCATTTGAAGTTCTGCACCCATTTTTAGTGTCCAAAACATGGGTTAGGCATATAGCTCTATGCATATTTTAATATATATTAGAAAACATAAAACAAATTTACTTTGATGTTCAAATATGAGTTTGGATGATCATAGGTGGACCATGAATCTGCTTAATGTTTTAAAAATTTTCACAAAAATTATCACCATCCTATTTCACATCCTAAAAGATTTCATGCTTCTAGGAAAGCATACAGTCTATTACTCCCCAGTTAAAACCCAATCGAGAAAATACTTGTAGGACCCCAAATTTGGGGATATGACCTTTTATAGCTAACCTCAATAAAGAGAATTTCTTTAAACCTATTAGCTGACCTTAATAAAGAGAATTTCTAAACCACACTCTTATGTATTTGAAAAAACAATGTCTTAAGAACAAATAGAGACCATCCAATCTTTTGAGGGTAAGATCTAAGTATTAGAGACCATCCAATCTTTCGAGGGTAAGATCTAAGTATTAGAAAACTCAAAATTCAAATTTTCTTCCGTGAAAATAATCATCCATTGGTTCTATGTTGGATCCGCAACTTCCGGTTTGGAAAAATCTTCCCATCCCATCTACGTCACCTGCACATGGCAGTAATACTTCTACAAGAAAGCAAAGTACATGCATTTTTTTTAACAGCTTGTTCTTTTGAGTGAATAGTCTCATACATCACCTAAATTTACATAAACTAAAAAATAAATCAATGGAACATGTTATTCATCAGAAAAGAGTGAACGGACAGTGTTTAAATCAGTTTAAAATCACCTTTAATAGTTCTGAAGAACATATTAAACAAAATTAATAGACATGATAGAAATCAAGTCAGAAAATTCTTAAAAACGCCAATAACGGATTTTTAGATTTGTCAGTTACATATTGAAGTGAGCTACATCTTCCAATTGAAGAAGAAATTGTCACAACTTCCAATTGAAGAAGATAACTTTTATAATTGTCAGCTACATCTACCAAGAAGACGATATCTAAGTCGGGATTTAATTTACGCTGTCCAAACAGTCCAAATAGACGGTGTAACTTATTACAACAATACTGATAATTAAATCAGTATTCAATTCACACTCCAAATAAACTGATGGTGTAGCTTATTACAACCATGCTGATATCTAAGTTAGTATTTAATTCATATTGTCCAAACAGGTGGTGTGGCTTATTGCAACTTTACTTCAACTTTTTCAACAATTAAACTTTTTTAACAAATAATTATACAAAGAATATTAAGACAGATTTATAAAATAAAATGATAAAAGTAATCAATGCATTTTTTTCATCCGACATACAAAAGAAGTAAATATCATCTGCTGGATTTGACTTACCTTGACCATGACAACCAAAAAATTTATTCCGAAACCCAAAGCATTAACTATTCGCCGCCCTCAATTGAGTACTCAATAATAGAAGTGAAGCTAACAAGGCAAGGGGAACGCAGGGATAGAAAGCTTTCCCGAGAAAACAGTAGTGCACATCTTCCAATAGTATCATGAAATGTAGTTTTCCAGACACCGTTAGCATGTGCACATGTACCTGGCTTGGCAATAAATATTTTTTTTCAATACAATTTGATCCTAATTTCTATAGAACAGATACTCTTTAATATGGTAATCATGAATACGGAATAATCAATAAAAATTTAAGACAATATTACTTTCAGATGCCCCAACCCCAAACAATTGCCCTTTTTCTATTGACATTGTATAGTCCTATTCATTGAAATTGCATAACTCCATTTATCAAAAAAGGAAAGGAATTTAAGTATTATCCTGACTTTAAAAAATTTAAAAGTATATCCCATTCAAATCATAGACTAATCACAACCGAAAAAACTTCAGTTTCACTCTCTTTAGCCTCAATTGTCCTACAACGAAAAAATTGAAACCAAGTAATTGTAAGACATCGTTTGAAAACGGATTAGGGCGGATTCGAACCACCACCTCTCAAAACATCTGTGCTTCGAGCGCTCAACCAATGAGCTACAAATCCCCAAATTTATGAAAAAATATAGGTGCAGTAAAATTAAAATCACTTTTACCCTTTCTACAGACAACTTATAAAGGAAAATGTAAGCTATTTAGGGCAAAGTTTAGTCGAAATTAATCTAAACTACTACCTTTGGATGTTAAATTTAGTGGTTTGACTACTCCCAGTAACCAAACTCACAATAGAGAACAAAAATAAACTCAATTCAAACTAAAATATTTTTAAACTTAGTAAAGCACGCGAATTACACATCGCATTTTTTCAGGAGCGATGGTTAAAATATTTTAAACTTAAAGTGACGCACCCAAAGTATACTTCGCATCGCATTTTTAATTAGGGACGCATCCGAAGTAAACATCGCATTTTTACCTGAGAGATGGTTACAAGTATCTGTGGCCTAAGAAACACATCATAAAATAGTCAAAACAGTAACGAAAACTTAAAAAACAAAACAATCTCAGCTCCCCAAGATATTTACATTGATCAACTAAAAACACACTTTGCCTCGATACGGTATACAAAATATAAGCATAGTATTAATAATAATAACACGATAA